GTCTTCTTCTGCTCACCATGACACTTATTAAACAAAACATGCTCTGGGAAATGTTGAGGGACAACAATTTCTTCATGGCCTCATAGTGTCACAGATAGACTATCAGCCTTTTGATGTCCATAAATATGGGTTTAAAGAAAAGGAACTGAGTATAATTATTTTAGACCTGAAGAATTCTTCAGTAGTTGGAGTCATTAAAGAATTTGAGGATCTGAGTGAAAAGGACCTGTGTGTTCACTATCTAGTCCATGTGTCTAACCCCGGCTGGCCTAAAACTGAATGAGTCCACTCTTGTTGTTACTGCTGCTATTTTTAAAGTCACAATGTCCTCCTCAAGGTTTGTGTGGGTGAGGTTTCATACCATCTCAAGCCTCTGAATTTAGGTCTCTAACAGAGGCTACTATTCAGCAGACTGTAAAACCCCATGGTGGTGAAACCTATTGTAGGGAATTGGGTTATTAGAGGCAACAGGACACAACCAAATCATATAAACATCTGTTTCAGACCCATCTTCCCAATCCCCAGACATAGCTTCCCTGACCTCTGAGAGTCTGAGCCATATCACAACCTTTGGAAAACATGGTGTTTCATAGGTAATTGGTCACTGCCAAGAACCATGGAGTCCATGGAGACAGAAAGTGAAGAATCTCTTGGTTTTGTTTTCAGTTTTGGTTGTGAATACCTGTGAATCATTCATTTTCCCCTAGGACATTCTGCTAGGCTGCAACTTGGGTGGCTGCGGAGTTGTTGGGCTCAGACATTGGTTCACATAAACTTTGATATTACCAATTTATGAAAATCAGACACTATTCTGCTTTGACATCTAAATGGTGACTTTGCTTCCTCGCTTGTTGGTTTGGGTTCCTGTCTCTGAATTGGTTCTTGGTTTAATTTCTGACTTCCATTCAATTTCTTTTTCCTAACCCTATATGTCTATCCTTAAGCAAGATTCTTTGACATTTTAAAATTAATTTTAGGTTTTAAAAGATTTATTAGTATGAACAAGCTGTAAGAAGCAAGCTATTCCATCACTATGTGAATCTTTAGCACATCTACCTGTACTATTTTCTCCTACAACCTTTGAAGCACTTAAATGCTCATCCATCCTGGAAACTATCTTCCATACTTACTCTGCTGCATCCAATATTCTACCAAAAGGACCATTGTGAGGTCCTTTTGTATTGTGAGGTAGTCCAGTTTACTACATTGTCCCAGTGTTGGAGAGGGCTAGCATAATTTACATGGCCAACTATAAGAGCTTTAGGTAGAGAAATTGAATGGATGAAGTGTAGAGATGATGTATGTAGTAGTCAGAATTTTTAGAGAACTTTAGCATTTTAGTGCACAGGACATTGGGGCAAACCACAGGTTATTCTCTAACTAGTCCATATTGTGTCTCTAGCAAAGGTCAGCACATAGCTTCAGAGTCTGTCTTGTTACTATGCCACTTGTTACCTTACTGCTATGTTAGCTTGTTGTTGAGTTCTTAAGTCAAAGTGTCCTCTTCCGGTTTAATAAGAATGGTCTCACATGTTCCCATGTATCACATCCTTGGGCTCTAGCAAGAGGTTCCATTTGGGGAGGTCATAAAAGCCCAGGGCAGCAGGAGGAACTGGATGTCTGGATGCTTGTCAAAGTCATGTACCCAACTGCTGCAGAACCATCTCCCCAAATCTGCCCAGCTCCTCATCAGTCACCCTTCCTTGCCCTTGGAGAGCCTGAGAGGAGGGTTACCCTTTGCCTTTTAAGTTGTAGCTTGTTGGAAATTTGCTCACAGCCATGACAAAAGTTATCCAGTTCCTGAAGCTGGATAGAGATTCATCTTTTGAGCTATTTGCTGTTACTGCTGCTTTTCTTACTGTGACATCACAAAAGCCTCTGTGAGAAGTTTTTGGGATCTTTTTCTATAAGGTACTGTAGTGGTCTGGGTTTTGTCTTGATGCCACAGAAAAACTCCCGTTGGATATAAAGCAGCTGGTTGTCCACATTTGTCCTGATAACCTGGACTTTCCTAATCTCTTGGACCTTGACATTGGAAGAGTTTGTTGTTGGATTTTTTCTTTTTGATACATGCACTTGGTGCTTTCAGTTGTGGCATGGATTTTTGATTATGTGTTCATTTTGTTTATTTGCTCCATTTAAATTTTTTTATGTTTTACTTTGGTTTCATTTTTTTATTTTAAACCTTTCCCAGGAGCTATAAGTCCATGTGTTCAACAGTACTGTAACATCCATGAAATACTCTGTCCTTGAAGACATCCATGATTTCTAACTCCTATACTCTTTTCATCCCCTCTTCTCAGTTAATTTTTGAGACTTGGGAGGAAGGTTTGTGAAATATAAGACTATAAATAAACAGAGAACAAAAATAATAATAATTTATACATGGACAGAAAAATATTTTCACCTTAAAATAGTAGTGTGTTAATACCTTAGAATTTTTATTATCAAGGGCAAATGGAGCTCTTTTAGTTGAGAAATGTTCATAAGCTTAAGAGGTGAATATTGGCTAAATCACACAATATTGTTTATAACTACTGAGACAATAGCTCAGGCTTATTACTAACAAGCTCTTACCATTTAAATTGATCCATTTTCATTAGTCTACATTCTGCCATGTGACTCCTGGCTTTACCTGTTCTCTAGCATATCCTGCTCCCAATGTAGCTTGGCAGGTATCTCCTCTGAGTCCACCCTTCTTCTTCCCATCATTCTCATTTGGCTTTCCTGCTTAATTTCCTGCCTGGTTACCATACTTTCAGCTTTTTATTAACCAATGAGAGTAATACATATTCACAGTAGACTGAAGGATTATTCCACAGCAATTATCTAAGAGGGGGAGCAGGTGCTCAATCCTGAATGGTAGACTTATTGAACGAGGTGTTCCCAGACACACTTTTCCTAACTCTGCATCTCAATATCTAAAAACCCTCATTATAACAGCTATGACACAACCATTCTGATTCCAGGAATATGTCTTTAAAGGCAAAAAGAGTAGACGTGACTTCATCATCACTGCTGCAATAACTTCTCAGGATGATTTTCACCATTCTTTTTATTATTTGTGTTCACTTAACTATCATCACTTGAATGAATATGGCTCCCATAGGCTCACAGGTGTGCCATTATTTGAAAAGATAAGAACTTGTGGCATTGTTGGAGTAGGTGTGGTCTTTTTGGAGGAAGTGTCATTAAGAGTAAACTTTAAGGTTTCAAGGACACAAAGCAGATCCAGTGGCACACTGTTTCTCTCTCCTGCCTTCCAATCCTGATATTGGAGTCCTGGTTCCTTCTTCAACACCATGTTCCCTGCACAACATCATGTTTCCCAATAGGAAGATAGTAGACTAAGTATCTGAACTTTCTGTCAGCCCCAATTCAATGCTTTTCTATACAAGAGTTTCTGAGTTCATGATATCTCTTCATAGCAATAGAAACTCTAAGACACTGACTTTACATGCATATCATATATTATTTATCTAACACGTTACATTTTCCCTTAATGTTATGTACAAATATATTACTATATAATTTGCAGTCCTAGGAAGGCTAATTTTGATTTATCATTGAACATATGAATTGCATAAATGGTTATAAATATGAATATTATGTCATTAAAGATACTAGAAAAATTTCACTCTCAACTGAAGTATTAGTGAATGTTGTTAAATTGTATTTTATTACATGTTATTTATAAGTTTATTTGTCAAGGAGGAATGTGCATGCTATGACACATGTGGAAGTCAGAGAAAAACTTGCAGGAGTCTGTTCTTTTATCCTACTATGTGAGTCCTAGGGATCAAACTTAAGTAGTTAGCTTTGGCTGAAATAACTTTTGTGCTCTGAGCCAGCTTGCGATCCAAAATTGGACTTTTAATGTATGTTTTATACTTAAAATTATGAACTATTTTTGTTGTACATTGCTGTACATCATAAACATTGACTATAGAATTCATTCTAGAAATCCTAATAGGTCCACAAGATCCCCATTTTATACATGACTATCGACCACCATAATCACTGTGATGTCCAGTGCCACATGGAGTCTGAATATTGTCTCCCATCTCTCCTAGTATAGGGTAACTGAATGCATAGGTTTATGTGACTATAAACCCTTATAAAATGTGTCTCCATATGGATTCTCAATAAGCCTCTATCGTCAGTTGCCCTTGCCAGTATTGCTTCTCCACTTTGCCCAGTATTTCTTCCTCTTCTACTCACCCATTTAATTCTTCCTGTTCCATTATTCCATTCTCCCTTTTATGTCACAGCAATATATGCCCCTCTCTTGAAAAATCCCCTCCTCTATAACTGTCCCTTAGTGGTTACCTAACTTATTTTGCTCTTCAAAATGTTATACACATATCTAAATGTTTAATTTTTTAAAAAAAATTACTTTCTCTGAAAAATTAGAATGAAATTTTGACGAGGATTGCATTGAATTTGTAATAGCTTTTCCCTAATTTTTGTTCAACCAATCCATGAACAACTTTCTATCTTCTGTTAGGTACTTCAACTTCTATGTTTAATGTCTTAAAAATTGATTATGTAAGTATTTAACTTCCTTAGTTAGATTTATTCCAAATTTGTTGGTATTATTGTGAGCTGGATTGTCTCCTGATTTCCTTCTTGGTACAGCTGTCATTTGTACACATAAAGCGTACTGATTTTTGTGTATTAATTTTAAAGTCTGCTAATTTGCTGAATGTATTTACCAACTTTGGGAGTTTTTTTTTTATCAGAAATATTGGTCTACAATTTTTATTTTTAGTTAGAATTATAGATTAAATGAGAAACATTACGACAGATACAGTAGTAATTCAAAGAATTAGAGTACTTGCTCATTTTGCTCTTTTATTTACAAATGGCAGCAACTAAATGAACAAAATTATATGTTAACATTCTTTGTATTACTGAAGGTCTTCTCGGCGATTCTCATACTTTTGAGTCTGTTTCTTTTCTTTTATTGAAAAGAGATTTTTTCATATTATATATTTTGATTACAATTTTCCTTCTCTCAACACCTCTGAAAGCTGCCCCACGTCTCCATTCATGTGAATCCACTGTTTTCTTCGGTGTCCCTTAATTTCAAATGTATATTAACATTCTCTAAGTGTTCGTGTGGCTTCAGACATTTCCCTTGTTATTGACTTGCTTATGTTGCAATTTAAATAGCTATGTTGCTTGGTATATAATCAAACTACTTTACTTCCTCCCATTTATTTTCTTCTCAGCTACTCTTTCTTGAAAACCACCCATGTCCCCCACTCTGAAGTTGATAGGCGATTTTTTGTTTTCTTTGATTATTACTGTTTCATATAATGTAATTTTATAAGATTCAGAAAATTAATCAAGTGATATATTTACTAATTCTCATTTGTTACCTAAAATGTGGTCAATTTTAGTGAAATTTTCATGCTCTTATAAGAAAAATATTTAATTACGTTGATATTTAAATTCTCTTTATTTCTGTATAATTTATTTATGATGTTTCTTTGCTAATATTTTGGTTAATTATATTATGAATATGTGAAAATTGGTACTAAGTTTCCCCTAATCTTCTCCCAATATCGATGAGGTAGTTAGGCATAATAGTGTTGTTTTATAAAGTTAGGAGCCCCAAGATTCAGTAAGTGAATACTGAAGGTACTTACCAGTTTTGATGTATTATTCTAATCATTAAGTTATAGTCATCCCCTTTGTTCTTCTGACAAGCTGTTATTTACTGTCTACATTGATAAGTGCAATAATTTATCATCATCTTTTCTGGCTTTGTTTTGTAGTTTGAATTCTGTGGATTCCTAGAGTTGTTCTCTTAAATACCTACTAAACTTTTCAAAGTTGTCATATTATTTTTAGATTTTATTCTGTAATTATGGGTGTCGGCCTGTCATGTATTTCATATATATATCCATATATGTGTATATGCATATATACATACACAATGACACACATAAATGAAATATCATTGCACAGTAGGTGACATTTCTGACCTGGCCACATCTAAGCATACAGTCTGAAAACCCAACAATACTAAAAGTTTCTTTCACCAAGGAGATTGTATGATATGAGTAACTCCTCCCGTTGCTAGTACCCCAGAGAAATATTGTATATCTTTCATTACTCTCAAGGTACTATCCATATTTACAGATAAGTAACTAATTTGTACATATGCTTGCATGATCTGGCTGTATCAAAAGATACCACAAGTAATTAAATATGTATTACAAAAGAAAATGGTATTATAAATATTGACTGCTATGCAGATATGTGCCTAGGCCCTTATTGAAACTATGGAACTGTAATTTTTTTCCCCAGAGAGGGTGATAAACAATATCAATACTTTATCTGAGTTAGATGGACATTCATACTATAAAATACTTTTATGATGATTTACTTATTAGATTAACATTGTACTTGCTAATTAGAGTCAAACCCTCTTCATGAGTGGGTTATACTATAATTATAAGCATCCTTGCTGTGACCCGTAGTATTGCTATGTAATAGTGATTCAATATTCAGTTCTTTGCAGGAGGTAATAACAAGATAATATGCATTCTAAGGCTCAGGAAATGACAGAAATTGGTGCCTTGAAAGAAAGCAACAGGAAGTAAAAAAGATGGATTTTGATGGGAATAATCTTCTGAATTTACCAAAGAAAATTCTACCTTGCAGAACGATGTCACTAAGCTTTTAAATATCTCAGATGGTAGACAAGCAATCTACCTATATCTAGATTGCAGTGTTTGCCAAGAGCAGCAAAAATCCTAATTACTAGCAAGGTTGAAGTAAACATAAATATCAAATGTTCATATTATTTTCTCTGTGTGCACCTTGTGTTTTCTGAGTCTATAATTATTATATTATTTTTAAAACATTTGGAACCAAGATGTGCATGATTTTTCTGTAGAATTTGAGTCATTTAAGATAGGAAAATGGTAGAATAGGGAATTTATACTTGTCACAGAAATGCTCCCAATTCAGCTAAATTTTAATAATCTTAATACACTCATTAATATTTGCAAGCATACTTGCCAGAATCTGCTTTTGCTATCCTTATTTGAGGTGAATAAAAGTGTATTGTTTTAAAGTTACTCAACAGTAACTGACTTAATATTAAATAGTTCATATATTTTGATACACACATTCTTATATTCCACTTTAATGAGTGCATGTATATCATACTCATAAATGCATACAAGTGTAACTTTAAAATTAATTACATATATATCGGTAGTACATCTCACTGAATCTAGAGCCCCTATGTCTGTCTTTGCTTATATGTAGTAAGAAGACAAATTGTATCTAGAAATTTAAAGGAATGGGTCAAACATCTGAGACCTAGATATAGTAGCATAGTCAGAAAACACAGACAAGAAGAGATATAAATTATATTATGTTTCAACTAATCATTTAAATTCTACAGTAGAGGAAGAAATATGCATTCTAACTCACAAGATACACTATCAATGTGACTTACTCTGAACAGTGAAATCCAAAGCCAAAAAATAATCTGCTAATGATTCAGTTTCCTCAATGCTTCCATTATATCACCATTCCTTAGACTATAGATAAAGGGGTTCATCATTTGAGGGACCACAGTGTACATCAGTGAAGCCACTGCAGTACTTCTTGTTGAAATAGTCAGAGCAGAGCTAATGTAAACCCCCAGAGCTGTACCATAGAACAATGACAAAACAGCTAGATGAGAAACACAAGTAGAAAAGGCTTTGTACCTTCCTTTCAATGACGATATTCTCATTACTGAAAAGACAATTTTTACATAAGAGAAAATTATTCCAGAGATTGGAACACCACCAAAGATGAATGTTGAAAGATATATCAGAATGTTATTGATTAGGGTATCTGAGCAGGCAAGTTTGATTACCTGAGCAAGTTCACAGTAGATTAGGGGGCTTTCCATATTTGTGCAGAAGGACAACCTCAATAACATCAGACCAAGCAGAAGAGAGTTTTCAAGGCTAATAACCAGACACAATATAATTAGCCAAACACAAAGGCTAGGGTTCATGATGACTGTGTACCTCAGAGGGTGACAAATGGCCACATATCGATCATAGGACATCACAGCAAGGAGACAGTTTTCTAAGGAAGCAAATTCCAAAATAAAGCAGACTTGAGTGAGGCAGCCTGTATAGCTGATGGTCTGATCCCATGTTTGCATGTTAACCAGAAGCTTTGGGATAGTAGTTGAACTTAGACATATGTCAACAAATGAAAGATTAGAGAGAAAAAAATACATGGGAGTATGGAGGTGGTGGTCCAAACTCACAACCATGATGATGAGTAGGTTTCCAAGGACAGTGACCAGATAGATGCAGAGAAAGAAGCTGAATGTGAGTGGTAGCACAGCTGGATCATCTGTTAGTCGCGCAAGAAAGAACTGTAGGGCATCTGTTTGATTTCTACCCTCCATGATGTTGACGAATCTGATGGAAATACTGAGTTAATTAAAATACAATATCCACCATCAGACACTTTAGCAGTACTCAGAAACATCTCCAAAGTAAATGTAAGAAATGTAACATTCTTAACCATTTTCCACTCTTATTTATTACTATTTTTGGATGTTGGTTGGGGGAAGTCCGTGTTTAAGCTACTCATCCAAATGCTGTAGTTATGTATCAGATCTACAGAAAACAAAAATTTAACGTAAAAACATTTAAATAATATTGTTAACCCAGGTATTTACTTAAATATTTTCTTCTGCTAGGTTATCTTTCTACCCCATTTGATAAAACAAATTATTTTACTAAAATTAGTTTTTGAAAAGTTCCAGTTGGGGTACAGTGTACAACTACCAATTTCAGTCCCATTACTTTCACCACCACTTAATAACCCTCTTACTGCCTACATATTCTCCCTTTTACTTCCATGTCTTTTTTTTTTTTGTATGTGTGCAAGTCAACTTCAGCAGCCATGGCTTCAACCATGAGCACAGAAGCACAAGAATAATCACAAAAACAGACTTGTAAAATTGACATAAACTTTACTCTACACATTGTGCCAAACCTGAGGGTAAAGATCAACCTATTAGTAAGAGATTATCAATCTGAATGATTCCATGCATTATAAAAATGTTGACAATAAAATTATATATCATGTTTAAATAATGTTTTCCAAAATTTTGTCTAACTTGGTGATACAAGCATGTCCTAGAAAATGTAAAATATTTTACATTGCCTTAAAATTTATTTTATATGACTGAACACTCAGAAAAGAAGAGGTTGAGGAGGTTCATGGGAGCTTGACTTATCCGGAACGTCAGAACTAGCCCCTTTAAGAAGGGAGGCTTCCTGTTCTAGAGGTCACACCTGCTCCCAGAATATTTTAAATACTGAAAAACCATCCCCACAGACTAGTAATGGAGGAAGGTGTCCAAAAGATGGGCACCTAGATGCCTACATAAAGTGTGACCCAGAGTTTCTAGATGGACTCCAACCTGCAGAGGTTCTCCATCTTCCAGCTGTTTGCTTTAATAAAATATATCATTCTTTTTTTCTTTTACACCCTTTGGCTAATACTTCTTTCTTCCAAATTAATCAGTTTCTTTGTGTGCAGGATCCTCCCATGTGTACTCAATGATCAAGCAAATAACAGATACTTTGTTCTTTCTGCCTCTGATCTCTAACCATTATTTGTGTCTGAATACTAAATAGTACCACTTTAAGCCTAGCATGGTTGGTGACTGCTTTAGCACTCTGCCTCAAGATCTGTAGCCACTACTTTGTATTTAAGACCTGAAGGATCTATCTCTGTTTTGATTCTCTGGGCAGTGTTCGTCATTGTTTTGGTCCCTATCTGACCAAAACACTTTTCACTTTCTGTCAAGACAGTCTGCTTCTGACTGACTCTTTCATATTCCTGACCCTGATATCTAGCTGTCAATCTAGCACCTCACACCTCAATTCTCATCTAATTTTGTCCTTTTTAAAGTACATACAAGTCTTTGTTTGCCACAGAAAATAAACTATGTTACCTCTACATTGCCACCAAATACCTCCATAAAGAGGTTGCATCTTGAAATAGAATGGGTAGTTGATGCTCATTTAATACCTTTTTCCATGTACCTTAAAAATATCAAATTAACATACCCAAATCATCAAAAGCTTTATTAAAATTTATTTTTATTTCTGTAATATTTTCTTTCTAAACAAAAACTCTAAAATTTTACTCATATATTCCGAGTAACTGAAAGCTACAAAAGAAATTTGTTTCAGCAGGCGGGTATCATACACCAAAATAGATTTTAGCAAGCATTATAAAATGCTGCACATATACATAAGACTCCCATGAAAATAAATTTAATTGTTGGAGAGCTTGTACAATGTTTTAATTCACATTCTCTCTCTCTCTCTCTAAAAATATTATTTTAATAAGACTAGAAAAGACCTATCATTTTTATTGAAAAGAAGATTTAATGGGAAAATAATTAAATGAACACACTAAAGAGACATATAAAATCAAAAAACATATTGTTATTTGGAAAACCTAAATATTTCATCCTACACTTTGATGTAATTGCTAGTTTTGATATGCTTTTAGGACTGTCACTGTAGAACAGTGACGATGTAACAGAAAACTTACTGAGACAGATATATGGCTCACTATGTACAACTGGTAGTCATGTAAGCTTGACCCTTTAGGTTTGTTCACTAGAAGCTGAAATGGAAGGAAGGAAATAAGTCCCTAAAATTGTCATCCAGCCTCCATGTGAGCAATATAGCATGCACACTTTAATTTACTAAAATAAGTCCCACCCCTTAGGGGGCGTGTTCGCCTCAGGCTAAAGTTCTCCTATAAAATTGGTGAGCATGCTCCCAGCGTCCTCTTCTGCTTTCCTGGTCTCCACGGGAACAGTGGTTCTGTAAGTCTGTTCCTCCATTAAAGCTGTCTATATTTTGACAATCTGTCTGCATTCGCTTACGCCGTTACAATTTAAAATCAATTTTAGCATTTCGTAATGTCAGACTTCCCAACTCTGATTGTGATACAAACTTTAGCTCAAATCTTATGAATATATATATATACGTATATGTATATATACATGTTATATAATAAGAAATGTGATGATCTAATCACATTTAAATGTGATATAAACACATTAAAATGTGTTCAATTAATAAGTTTATGTAATCATGTTAAATTATGTAGACTTACAATTAAAAAAGCTTACAAATTGAATCTTTACAATATTTTACTTCAGGGCAATAATTAAACAACATTTTATGTCATAGTAAGACATATATTAGAACAAAAACATCCTAAACAGTGCTGAACCATGACCTGTCATGTTGCCATCATTTCCTACTTGCTTTACCTTTGTCTTATTCTGCTCATATGGTATTAACAGTTACTAAGAAAGAAAATATCAAGGAAAATCAATATGCTGGAAAAGTGGAGAAAAGAAAAAAGAAAGACAATATTTTCTTCATGATAAATATATTATCAAAAAACATTTAAGTATTAAAAACTGCTTTTGGAATAGCAGTCATTTGGAATATAACAAAAGAAGCACCATTAAAGCTAGACACAAAAATGTAGTAGGTCAGTCTTACATGACTACCACTTTTAAATACTTACCCATGTTGCTGACCCTAGTAACACTTTCAAACATGAACAAATTAACTTAGAACAAATAATCCAATAGGTTTCATGGGGAGAAGCATTAACTTAAACACTTACCTGTATATTTATTAAGGAAATATGATATGTCCTTGGTAAATAAAGGTGTGAGTATATGATTCATGGATAAGAAAAAATCTCTAGACAAAGGCATTTGCATTATAGCCTGACGAAAAGAGTGTTTATGAGTAAAATTTGTCTCCTAGAGTATCTCCATCCCCAGAGACACAATTTCCAGCAATCATTATCATGCTATATTATCATGCTATTACTGAAAGTGCATATTCTTAAAGACCAAAAGTAAAGAGTTGAATGCAGTACAAATGGTATTTTGTCTCTTGAGACATGATTACATCATAAAATTCTCACTACTTTGCCTATTCATATTCATTTCAGTGATCTTGCTTACTTGGTACATATACTAAGTTAAATGGATTCTTTATATTTATAAATAAAATAATTCATCCATTGAATAATGAGCCCAGACAATCAGTTTTTACTATAGCTATGAAAATATGTCTCATCTTAAAAATTCTGAATAATAGAAATATAATAATCAGGTTTTATGTTATAAATTTGCAAATTTTCTTTCTTCTATAATAGTACCAAGTGTTGTTGCTGAATTCTAATTTTTAGTATATTTTGTAGGAAACAATATAATTTTCTAAGGTCTGACTACTGCATGCCTTACTGACTGGTGTTCATGGTACTGAAAGTACTCTAAATGCTACAGAAGGGAAAAGAAACCAAGAGCCTGTATTCAAACCATACTATTTATTTTAGTGAGCTTTATTGCATTGTGGCAAATGTGACACAAATATTATGAGAGTAACAAACCACTCTTAGATTTAAGACTCACTTCACCAAATGGGGCACATACATCACATTATTTTGATAGTAAAGAATCTGAGGCTAGGTAAGCTATGGGGCTAGGAAAAAGTAAATTATTTTGGTTATGCTAAAGGAACATAGAAAAATAACCTCTAATGACATTCTACTACACCCATAGATCAGTGTCTATATTACCCATTGTCAGAGAAAATTCCTATTACAATATATGGAAATTCACACAGAGACACAGAATGAACAGGGTGCACAGTGAGAGACTTTAAAACAGCACTTAAATGGGATTTCTTAATTAACTTGTCCACTCAGAACTTAAGAAGCTATTCAGAAGTAGAAGCAGAGAAAGAGTAAAAGCTAGGGGAGATGAATGATATCATAGAAACAGTGTCTTCCAGTTGCAGGATATTTGATCACACTGTGTGAAAAATATTTTACCACTTTACCTCACCCTTCTAAAACACATTCTTTTGGTTTAATAAAGAGCTGAAAGATTAGTAGCTAGGCCAGAGAGGTTAGATGAGATTTATGGAAAGAGACAGCAACACTGGGAAAGAATCAGAAATGTGGGAGTTTGCCAGTGAGACACCCAGATAGGATCCATATCTATCCTATCTGGGTGTCTCACTGGCAAATTTCTCTGAATTTGACAAATGCAAGTGAACTAGACATTGTTTGTGTACTTATTGACTGTATATATTGTATACAGTCATTGTACTTATTGTATATAATTTTTCTTATATTAGTTATAGCCCTATTTTGTATTTGAGACAAAAAGGGAAATATAGTGGCATTTCCTTTGTATTTTCATAAATAAAACTTGCCTAAAGATCAAAAAAGTAAAAAAGCCACCATGGCCAGCCTTACAGACCGGGCAGCAATAACCCACACCTTTAATCCCAATAGCCATACCCTCTTGCCATAGAAACCAGGTGGTAGTGGTACATGCCTTAATCCCAGAAC